ATATATTAGTAACGTTTCATTTTAATCATGGAAAAATGTGGATTTTGGGTTACTTTTTTTTCATCCAAAAATTGGGCATTTATTAATCAGAGAAAACCAGGATACCTGATTATCACAGGCCTTTTAGCACTCCCTTGGGAAAGGACCTGAATTTGGTATCTGTGTGGCTACATCAGAATAAACTCCAGAGAAAAAGTCATCTCTTGGGTTGCAAATATTGCTCCCACTTCTGTGTTTTATCCCTGCAGTACTTACAGAATGGAAACTGAAGAGAAGAGGAAAAGTGTAAAAGGGACCTGAGATACAAGAAAACAAAATAAATAGCAGAATGAGAAATGAAAAGAGGAAAGCAAGATTTGAAGATGCATAGAAAAAAATAACCCAAAAGAACAAATGCTCTAGTCACATAGTTTAACCCCAACGCTGCAAACATCAGCACTAACAAAGGTATTCATGTGAAAAGTACTCATATCCTAATGAAGTCAAATCAAGCAAGTGGGACTAGTCTGAGTAATGCTGAGCCCTTGAAGAAATTTTTACAGAATTGGGGCTTTAGTAACCTAAGCTCTAGGAAAATGGGTTTCAATCAACTCAGTCCTTCAAAACCAAAAATCATAATGTAGGGGCATTATATACACACCTTTAAAATCCCACCTCACTGAGCATGTCTACACATGCATTAATGTGCTTTTCCTAATGCACACTAAATTTAGTACTTCTGGGCACTTTTACACTTTTACATATACTCTGGGGGTGAGAGGGGTAGTGCTTTAACTAGAGCGGCTTCAAGAGCCGTTCTAATTAAAGTGCCACCATGTCTTGTGTATCAGTGTCTCTGCACTTAAAAATGGCAGCAGCAATGCTTGTACTAAAGCTCATTTGATGAGCTTTAGATCAAGTGCCACCGCCGTCATTTGTTAAGTGCAGGGACCCACATACACAAGACAGAGGACACTGCTGGAGTGCAGCAATTGCCACAATTAATCAATTAATCAATTAATTGAGTCTGCTCTGATGCACTGGAATTCCAGCGTGCAGAGCAGCCTCCATGCTTGTGTATTGGCATCCTCCAATATGAGGTCCTAAATAAATGCATTTAGGTGATGCTTAATGTTCAGTAGCCTATTATATTGTGCATTAGCATATTAGCATAGTTTTTTATGCATCACTTTAACACACAGTAGAGTAGGCACATTAAAGTACACACATAGACGCACCCATTGTTTCATAAGAATACAGTTAGAACAGCCATTCTGTTTCAGAATTTGCACATATATCCTTTCACACTTACATAGAGCGTAGGTATCTCCCAGGGTGAAATGTAATTCAGCATGCTGGGTATGCCTACACATGTATTTACGCTGGCTTAAATATACTGCACAGAAAGTTACTGCACAGTCAGTGGGAAAAGGCCGGCATCTATACATGCAGGAATGAAAGTGCATTAACATTGTGTGTAGACTGGTTTAAGAAAAAGTTACTCCCAAGTCAGTCCACACACACAGTGTTACTGTGCAATAAGGCATATACACATATTTTACTGTGCTGTAACTAATCAGGCGTAAATTTGATACCTGTATGATGAAGGTATCAAATATATGCTCAAGTCAGTGTAAGTCACCGTATTTCCTGCACAGTACAGGTGTGCATGTGTAAACATGCACCTGTACTGAGCTATAATATTGGTTACTGCACAATAGATGTGCACGTGTAGATGCGCCTGCTGTGCACTAAGGCACTAATTAGTAAGTCCTGCATGCATAGAAACATATTTATGCACATGCTTAAAGGCTTTTTTGAATCAATGCCCAGGTGGAGATGTGTCACACTACATTTAGCTTATGAAGCAATGTGGGATTTTTCAAAATGAAAATGCTACTTTATATTTTCAAATCACTCTACAAACAAAATGCAATTGGATTTTTAATGTAGGTCTGGACAAAGGCCAAGAGAGAAGGGGAAAACAGATTTAGGCTGCTAGAACCTTTTAACTTTTAAGTGGAGCTGGTAGCAGAACCTTTTATTCAAGTAGTCCCTGGTATCCCACACTATAAAATAGCTGATTATAACTTTGTGAAACTTCAATCACTTGCACTGAAGTTTTTTCTATAATATTTCAGCCTCAGGCTGATTTTCTTTGGAATGTTTGAGCCAAAATCTGTTTATCCATTTTTAAGAATGAGAGTAGGTAAAAAATATATGTTTCTATGTCAACATCAGCCTTTTCTTTGAACAGTTCTAGAACCCACATGCTTTGACCTGAAATAAATCTGCCTTTTGCCCTCCCTCTAAAAAATCTGCTCAAATTCAGCAAGTGCAAAACCTTTGAGGGCAAAATAATGTAGGATGCACCGGCTCACTAAATGTTAGCCATTTAATCCCTATATCTATATATCTATATATTAGTGGTGTTTCATTTTAATCATGGGAAAAATGGATTTTGGGTTACTTTTTTAATTCAAAAATTGGGGATTTTATTTTCAGAGAAAACCAAGATCCCCAGAGATGAGGACCCATAAAGAGAGATCACGTGGCAGGGTACCCCAGGTGCGATAGGGGACGCTGGGACCAGCAACTGTGATGGCCCCAGCAGCCTTACCTGGGGTTTTGGTGACCTCCTGGGACTGGAGCAAGAGCAGAAAGCCTGGCCAGCAGCAGAGTGTAGCTCCAGCTGGCCAGGCTCTGGTTTTGAGTCGTGTGTGCTGCTACCGCATGCACCACCCCACTTTTTTCAGCAGGGGTTTTTTGACCCCAGGATCTCCCAGGGTTAAAAAAAAACAAAAAACCCACGCTCCAAAGTAGCAGCATTGGGAATGCCTGCATGTGCAGTGTGTGGCACTGCAGACAGGTCTGTGACAGCACATATTGCTTGTCCGCGCTCTTCTGGACACAGCCATTGACGTCAGTATACCATAGGACACTAAGGAGCTGAAGTTCACATAGTGTATTCATACCTAAGGATTCCTAGATCAGACCATACTACATAAGCAAACTAACACTGATCTTGAGGTTCTGTCTACACTGCTAATGCAGCTGTAACAAAGGCCTGTTTACATTACCATTTCTCTCCGTGAAGTTCTCTCTTCTGTCAGATTATTCTCTTTTTGCAAGATAGAAAGGACACTGTTATTTATAAGCACTACATTAATTCTCTAGCTGTAGCCAAAGCTTAAGCACACTTATTAAAGCATTATTAAGTGCTTTTGGCTTTGGCCCAATTATTACAGCAGGTCCATTTAGGACTGCAAAGTAGGACTAAATGAATTATGCTGAGGGACAGCTAGTATCAACCAGACACCAGGAAATCTTCAGCATGGTATGTATACTCTGTGGTACAGCTCTACTCTGGTAGTAATTAATATTCAGTTTGATATGTAATGATACAGTTCAATATGTACTCCATGCTATAGTCCTAGTAGTCACAAACGCTGTCCATCCTAACAAAATAGCAAGGCTGAAATATGAAGGTGAATATCCTTCTGGCTAGAACATAAATGAGGTTACTTGCTCACATACACAGGAGGAAAGAAAAGAGATAATCATGTTTTAACCCTGACTGGACTCTAAGGTCAGCACATATTCCCATCCTGTGAATATAGCACAATGGCCATGACAGTGGTGTACTGGAAATCTAGTTAAAGTTGAAGTCTTCCTGAACACTTTTCCCCAGTCAGGGACTTTCCTGCCTTTGCCCTTGTCTGGATCAGGGTTATCAGGGCTCTTCCCCCCTCTTCTCACCTGTGCATTGGCAGCTCCGGTTGAAGAACTTTAGGGGCCATCGTTCCCGATCATCCACGTTCCGTAGGGTGTAGGGGCCACTCCATGGCCTGGCATCTGCTTGCACCCCTGTGCACGATCCTCTGCCCTGGCGGGAGCCGCACACATTGCTTGGCTCTAGCCCCAAAGCTGGACAGCAGCGCTTGGCCCGCAGTGCCTCCACTGTCATACAAGCACGGGGAAACTGTGCCTCGGCCTGTGGGGGATAACAGCAGCTCAGGTAGCTCAGTACTGTCCATCTGAACCACTTTGCCCACTGCTGCAGGCAGGTCATTGCTTCTGGCCACAAGAAGCTTTCTCTGTGGTTGGCTCAGGCAGGGACTGCACAAGGTCAATGACAGGAACACAGGAGTTTCATTAACAGCCTCTCGACTCAGGGAGAACTGCAATTCTTCCTGGTTTCTTAGCACATCGGTGCCCTGACTGAAATATTTCCCTTTGCTGCTTCTTACGTTGGTATTTGCAGTGTTTAATTTAATCCTGGACTCTAATTGCCTTGAATATGGTTCAAAAGTCTTTGCTCTATAGTGCTTGCCAAGCAGCCAAGGCTTGAGGGGATTTATATAGAGGTTGGGAGAAGCCCTCATTAGAAGGATTAACACTGTACAAATCCTCGTGTTTAGCACATGACATTGAGGGTAAAAAAGAGACCAGTGAGAAGAAGGGAAATGAGTTCTGAAGAGTAGTGGCGTTCTGTCAAGAGGGTGAATGCCTTGGATTTATTTCTGTCTTGTCCATCTCGTGCTTTGTGAACCAGTTGGCATTACATGTAAGAAACGATAGATGGAGGGTTTGAGGGTTTGGGGAAAGCCCTGTCATGTTTTTTTTTAATTATCACCCTTAAACAAATTTAAAGTGGGAAAAAATCCTTCAGTTTTTAAATGTTCATTCACTGAAGGGTGACACTGTCACTGAGGCATCAGTTTGAAAAATCAGGGAAAGGTAAAAAACAAAGGCTTACCATACTCATGCCTTTAACAAACATAACAAAGCCACTAATGACACTCACATCAAGAGTTACGCCTGTTCATATAATGACTGAAGAGTAGCCAAGGCTTGCACGGTGATTCTTAAAGGTGAGCAGTCGAGAACAACTCAATTCTTCTATTCTCTTCACAGGCATGCTAAACCTTGCTTGTCCAACATACAGCCCGTGGGCCGCCATGCCGGAAGGGAAAAGGTTCCCAGACACAGCCTGCAGCGAGCAGTGCCCCACAGCAGGGCCCGGGCACACACACACTCCCTGGTGCCCAAACAACTTACCAGGCATCCTTGAAAGCAGGTGGAGGTGGCAGCACAGTGCCAGGGCTGGGGCTCGGTGGCGGAGCCACGCAGGGCCATGGCGGGAGTGGGGGGCAGTGCAGGCGCACACAGCCACTGGGGCAGTGAGGCAGTCAGCAGCAGAGTGGAGGGTGTCTTTCCCATACATCCCGGGGAGGCTGCGGCTGGGAGGATGAAGAGGAGCCCGGACTGGGGTTCCCACGCGTGGCAGCAGCTGTCCCTGCCCCGCTCCACTGTGTGCCCAGGTGAGCCGCAAGTCTCTCTCACAGCCTCTCAGTTGCACTGAGGAACTCCCACTCCCTCCTCCCTCCCCACGTGGCCACCCCCTGCAAGGCAACGAGTGACAGAGGCTGCAAAGCGTCATGCAGGTGTCTCCTGACACATCCCTCCACCTTTGATTAGTTTCCACTCTGGCTGATATCTTTTCCACAGTTGATCTGTCGACTTGCATTATGCTTCTTTCATTATGCATTATGCAAAAGTGTTTATTTTAGTCAAGTGTTTGGTGTTATTTCATTGTTGCTTTTATCTTATTTTTATTTTGGATTTTAAACCACATTTCCAGACCCATTTCATTGTCACTTCCTGCAACTTCATTGGTGTCAAAGGTCATGTGACATCACT